CCTCACAGTTGTCTCTCCTCTTAGGCTGCGATTTGTTTGCAAACTATTTGTTTGTTTCAGAAATTGTCTCAAATTGATGACCAAATGCTGCGAATTGGCGGTCAATGACAGGCTCTCCTTATTGGCCACACTTTGGTTGTCTTTTTTCCAGACAGTTATCCGTCTCTTGTCACCAAAACTAGTCATTCAAATGGCAATTATCTTAACCATTATATGACCGGCGAGTGAGTCATACAAACCCATGGCTTCTGGTCTTCAGCGAGAATTGGATGCAATAGTTGTGTATATATTTGCGTTCATTGGATGTCAGACTCGACTCAAACACTATTTCTGNGTCATTCAAATGGCAATTATCTTAACCATTATATCACCGGCGAGTGAGTCATACAAACCCATGGCTTCTGGTCTTCAGCGAGAATTGGATGCAATAGTTGTGTATATATTTGCGTTCATTGGATGTCAGACTCGACTCAAACACTATTTCTGCGGTTTTGGACACAAATATGATATGAGATATGAATTGAATTGAAGCCAACTATCAGTGAACTACCGGTGCGACTGTCATCGCGGAGGAAGGTGTCCAAGCGCTCAGTTATGCTGATCTTCACGTCCTCTTTAATACAAGCGATTTGTTTGTTATTAGCGTTCAATCGACTCATACTTATGGCTATTAATTATGTCTTCAACTGTATATCAATTGTATGATTAGTTTTGTGTCAATTCAATGACAATTAGTTTGCATTCATTCACCACTTGTCTCACAATAACTCACTAAACATATGATTACTGTTTCAAAACAGACTCTCACTGTCAGTGCACTCACTCTCTCCACTGTCGGGGGAATGGGAGGCAATACTCCATACAGACATACAATGCATGCAATCATTTCTATGCAAACAGTGGGCATTCATTCAACGATTGGCATTCAGTCATACATTCATGTGATTGACAATGAAATTCTTGTGGAATTTAATGAATACATCTCTACAGGAATGTCTCATTACTAAGTTATTCAATGAGATAAGCAAGTCCAATTACGATGTATGCATATTATTTATAGTTGTATTAGTAATTGAATCATATCACTATTAATTTACCAATCGGCGTATTGTATTGTATTATTGAATATATCGTTAAAGAATCTAGATAAATTTAAAGAATCTCTTTATAACCAATAAAAATATGACAATTATTTTATTTGAAATCAATTTTAATTAACGCTTGAATTAAATTACAAAATCGTATTTAAAAGATGATATAATTACATTAAAAAACAAAAATTTTATGAAATCTAAAACTTTTGATAAGGGCTCATTCAATAATACAATACAATACGCCGATTGGTAAATTAATAGTGATATGATTCAATTACTAATACAACTATAAATAATATGCATACATCGTAATTGTCATACATCTCACGTCTGAGCGCATCGGCAAACGCCAGGTTCGCATGTTTTGTCATACAATAGGCCGTCAGCTTAGGGAGGGTTAGTCTGCCCGCTATGCTCTCAATGTTCACAATACGACCTAAAATTATTAATAAATAAGCATTTAATAAAAGGTAATAAATAATTGAATAATACCTTTGGATTGTCGGAGGAGTGGTAGGAAAGCCCGGACCACCCGAACCGTACCAAAGGTGTTGACATCAAAGATCTTCTCATACAACTCGAATTGAGACCAATCAAAGTGACCGAACTCTTGCACTTCTGCCGCATTGATCACAGCCCACAACTGCTCGCCATTAGCCTCCAGTTCCTCAGTCACCTCTTTGGCCACTTTGTTCACTTCAGTCTCGTTCGTGACATCCATTTCCTTAATATTCATAAGTGAGACAAATCGCGAGTCATTGACGAGTTTCTCTGCGGCTGGACTTTTGTGGTCCATAACAGTGGCATAGACTCGGTATCCCTGGTCATTTAATTTGACGGCTACGTCATGACCCAAGTCTTTGTCGGTACCTTTGGAGGCAAATAATTTGTTATACAATTTTAAATCTAATATATATCTAAATTATAAAATTAATATTATAACAGATTCTTTATAATTCAATGCATTAATTACGAGTTAATTGATTATGTTATAAATATTGTTTTACCAGATTGGTCACTACTCCTGTCGGAAAAAGTTACTACCGTTTATAAGAAATAATAAATACTTAAACGCCTGTATAAACCACGGCTTGGTGCTGTACCGACAGTACTGGTGTGAGCTACCGATCATAGAGACCGCCCTATCAAACAGTCCGAAATACCGGAGAGCATTGATTGTTGAGAACACCACTACATATTGAGTCCTAAAGCTTTCCCAATCAATTATAGCCATAGTAAATAGTAGTTTAACACTTTCGTATACACTTGTAATTAGTAATTGAATATTAAATTCAAATTAAATGTCAAATTTATATATGTATGAGCTTTTAAAATGAGTCCTCCAGTCATAATGAACCAATTTTATTTATAAACTTAAAGTTCTTGACATAAAAAATTGTTTTTATTACAAAAGTATCCGGAATATTGATCTACGGATGCACTCCGTTTATTTTAGACGTTCAGGAAATGTGATATATTTTGCGTATTTTAATATATTTTAAAAAACAGAAAAGCGTAAATTTATGTATAATTAAAAATTAGTGATAATTAAAAATATCTACGGATGCACTCCGTTTATTTTAGACGTTCAGGAAATGTGATATATTTTGCGTATTTTAATATATTTTAAAAAACAGAAAAGCGTAAATTTATGTATAATTAAAAATTAGTGATAATTAAAAATTATGCCAACTAAAATTAATTTGTTTATTCTAAATATCTAAATAAATAATTATGCACCATATAATGTACTTTTTACAATGGGGAATACAGTAACAGTTAAACATTAACACTAATACTGTATTAGTAATACACTATTTGCCAAACGCTTTAAAATGAAATTATAATTAACTTTTTAATTTTGAAGAATCTTAAGTATGTTGCTTGATACTTAACAGGATCCTAATTAAAGAATTTGTTTTTATTTTCTGAGTTAGTATACCAATAATTTCTTATCGCTTTATACTATTATTATTATTATTACCGTATTATTATGAAAATGGCATTAATAAATCCTTTCGTTGTTTGACATTTAAGCCTTACATTGAATATCTTATCAGAGAAATGAGACATTTCTCAATCTCTAAGCAACATAAACACCTCAAATGAATAGAAATTCCAATGAATTATATGAGAAAATGTGAATAATATTTACCAATAAATCAGAAATACTCTTTCGATTTCTAATTGTATATTCATAATTAATTACACAAAACAGTACTTTAATTAAAAAATTATATAAAAATATAATAAATAATGAACTTAAAAAATGCAACCTACTTATTAAATATTTTGATAATTTTGATAATATTTACCCCGTTTTTAAGTGGACAACAGTGGAGTGTAATTGACAACAAAAATAATGCTGAATATTGCCTACAAGGGAGGACCGAACAATTTAGAGTCCTTCACCCTGAATGTGATACTAAAGAACCTGATACAATTGATTTTTGTAGTCATGTATGTAATTAACTATTATTCTAACTAACAATTTAAATAAATTTACAATTAAAACACACATTTCTATTAAACCCGGATTCCGGAACTCAAACTTATAATTTCAAATTTCATGTAACCAGTGTCAATTTGAATAACTCATATGCTATTAGATTCAATGCGAACCAATAGAAGTTTGTGAACCAACTTCCCCTGACGAGATCGTAATCAAAGTCGATAATGTGACAGGACGGGGATGTTGTCCCGCGTGCGTTTATTATCTAGGTAATAATTGAATTAATAAAAATCTAGGATTTAAAATTTAATAATTAGTCTTTCTAATGTATAATGTCAGATGAATACGCCTCGTGTAAGGTGGGTTCACTAATACATCGGTGCCGGAACGGCCTGTTTTGCAACCCATCGACCAAACAGTGCAATATTCCGAGTGTGGACCCGACTCGGAAAAAATGTCTCATTGAATACCACAATAGAAATAAAGTGGCGAATAAGGGCTTGAAATTTTACATCGAAACCAATAAAAGGAAAACCGATATAATGTATTACCCCATGGAATACGAAACCGATTTGTTAGATATGCCCGACTGTGACGATGAGACGGGACATTATAAGATTAAACAGTGTCGACAGGAAAAGTAAGTCTCTGTCCAAGCAATTCAGTATAAATTACAGATCAGTATTTTGAGGGAGACTTTTCAAATGATAACATTTTGCTATTAAAGATGCTTTTGTGTGAACCCAGAGGACGGACAGTTCACATTCGGGTTGAGTTTGAAGGACATGGCTGAGAACGTGACATGTAAGTGCGCCGACCATTTCCATAAGACATATACGTTGGGGTCGGTAGGTTGTCCAGGTCGCGATTGTTATTACAATGAGACCGATTTGCATAATCTCGAGCATAACGCTCAGATACACATGAAGTGCGACAGCGCCGGCAACTTTGAGCCCTTACAGTGCGTTAACGGCACCTGTTTTTGTGTCGATGAAAAGACTGGTCAGCCCTCGTCTACTAAGGCTGCTCTGTATGGCGCCCTCCAGACTTTGCCCTGTTGTGAGTGTTATGTGACCATAATGTGATTTAATAAATGATCAGGTTATAATTTAAAATATTAATTGAATCTACAAAAGTAATTACAATATTAATAACTTAATTAAGATATTTAGTGTATAATTAAATTTTGGTGATAATGCTATATTTGATATCAACCTGATCATTTGCGTGTCACTTATGAACAGTAAAAATTATTATCAATTTAAGTGAATTACAAATAAAATTGTTGTGTTTTGTGTTGAATTTGTAGTCGATTTAGAAAAGAGTAAGAAATTGAATACAAAAGAATCGGACCCTAACTATCAGAATGGATGCGAAAAACTTGTCAAGAGAACAGAATCCCTTGCACTGGAATTCCGCAAAAAGGGAACAGAATTGTCGAATATGGGTGATGTCACTTGCTCATATGATGGCAGATATGGATCCAGACAATGCAATGCATGTATGGCAATCATCATTTTCATGATCTCTACAATTGATTACATATTTTGATTACTAAAAATACGTTTTATATATTCTGACTGACAGTCCAATGCTTTTGTGTGAACCCAAGCGACTCGACTCTGGCGGGCAATTACCGGATCGATAGGTCTGCGGGTAAGATGAATGAGATGAGCTGCCGGTGCGCTCTACAGGAGTTCTACCAGATGAAGGAGAACCTGCCGTATAGTAAGCTTCAATGCGACACTTTAGGGAACTTCAATGCCTTCCAGTGCTTCAATGAGGGCCGCAAATGCTATTGTGTTGACGAGAATGGCTCCCGAATTAGCAAAGAGGGCCCAACACAATGCTTGGATAAGTTCATCAAGAGTGACATCAATGGTCTCCAGAAGGAACAGATCTGTCAGTTCATGAGGAAGACACTGACCGACAAAGCCATGGCTGACGACATATACTATACGGTCCGGTATAATGAGGACTGGGATCTCGTCGAGATCACCAAACCTCAAGATTCCCAAATGTACGCAACCGATCCCAATAAATGCTAGTCTAATACACCAGTGCCATCGCTGTGTCTAGGAGTGCCCTGGTAGGTTATCGGTACTAATTCTATAATAGACTTAGGGGCCATTCAATAAGTACGTACGCAAAAATTTGTCTAAAAATTGACCCCCCCCTCCCCCCGAAACGCCCCTCGTACATAGGACTTTAACATTGTGTACGCATGCCT